CAAGTTCCCTTCAGCTATGGTAGGTTTAGCAAATTTAAGGTAACTCTTTAATACTTGAATGATAATAGCTGGCTTTGAGTGTTTTATTTTGAAGTTCGGTGGATGGAACTACAGGTCCCTTGCTATCCTTAAATTCTGGTACGTCATGACCTTTTATAGTTTCATTCATAATATAATTAAAGAAAATTATAACTAATGTATGTCAATGAACTTGACAATAAATTTTTAGTTTATATTATCTGAAATTTTAATTTCAAAAAATTCTCAATCTTCATTTCTGTGACATATGTCACATTTATGCTCATAATTCTCTTTAAAGATATCTTCCCTAATATTGCTTTCATAGTCTCCAAATGAGTAGAAACACAAATTATGGATAATTACAAGCAAAATTCTAAGGAACCCCTTGCCCAATAATCCTTCCAATGCCAATAGAAGTGTTTATAACTATTAGAAAGGGCATTTTCTCCTCTATAAGTATCTTGGATGTGATTTAAATTTCCCACATACACTAGTTAGTAGGAGTACATCTTAGTTATTTTCTCTTATTTATAACTATAGAAAGACAGTTAGATTATAGTAGTCTTGGGACATTTTATTCTAGTGCCCCATGTATTTTATGTTATAAAATGCAAATTTGTAGGCTACAAAAGTTTTTATTTCAACTAACTTAGTGCAAACAATTGAGGCCTACAAGCAAGTGCAAAAATCACATTGGCTGCACTTTGATCTTGGTGTTTATTATGGAGGCTAATGGGTTCTCAGTGTGATTTTATTGCTTTTGATGAGGGGCAGTAGTTCAAAGTACAGACAATAAAACTATACAATTTAAAAGAAAATGGATATTAAAAGGTTAACAGTTAAAAAACTCTGCCCTTTTTTCGTTCACGACAGACTTATAATGTTTACTAAAAGCTTGTCAAATTTTGGGAACGTATAGTTTTTCACTAGAAGACATTTCAACTTTTCTTCAAATAATCCAGCTCCCATATTTGTATTCTAAAACACACATTGTGTTTGTCTTGGCCTAATGTTTTCAACTTTCAATACCTGAAATTATGGTGAATACTTGGAAATTAATTCTTAAGTAATCTCAGTGAGGCCTTAAAAATTATAAGCAGACTCATGATGGTTAAAATCTTACTGCTAGCTAAAGATATATGGCTAATGAGAAAGTGTTTAGTAAAATATACTACTATTGAAACAAGCACAGGCTAAACTTCATTGGTCAGTAATCTTTATTGATGAATAAAATTGTGAAAAATAAACAATCGTATTTTAGAGTTTTCTTTCATATAAATCAATGTGTTGTCGAAAGCATTTGAAAAGAAACTTGCTTTCAGAGTACATTTCCTTTAGAAGTTCTTCAAAATTATCTATCGTGTTTCATTGATACAAAAGTATAAAATAAACGGAGAGTACAAGCATTTGGGAAAAATCTCTATATGCAATACATGCGTCCAACATATAATTCTAGGTCTAGTTCATTTTTACATTATGTTCTCAATTCTTTTGCAACTGTGTGGTACTTTAAAGAAATGTGAGAGTTATTTGTTATGCAACTCTGCAAATTCATGGGAAATCCCTTACAAGCACATTTCAACTAAGTCTATAATAACACTTTTTTTTTTTTCTTCTTCACTATCAAGTGGAATTTTATAGAAACCTAGTGGTTAATTTTCCGGTAATTGTCAGCTAGCAGTCCAACTATGTATATAGAATATCACTTTTCCCAAGCAGAAGAAACTAGCAAATTCATCCAATTTAACAATTGCCACGGGAGAATTATTAGTAACATTTCTTTGTTCAACAGGTCATATTTTCTATGAATAAACCCCATTTCAAGTACTAATATTTATATGAATCAATAAAATTGAATCGTATGAAGAATTGGTTTCTGAGCTTTTGCTTCAAACTCCTGTAGCAGCTCATCAATATCATTGTCCAGGTCTTCGGACTCTGCCATCTGAAAACGAAAGGAATTTTAGCAGTTCCAACTTTAAATAGTATACTTAAATATAAGCCTACAATTACTCCATGTTTACTTCATAAATTTGGGGTAAACCAAAAAATACCATAACGATTTGCTTCACATATATTTATAACTTATTTCTACCAGTGGACAGAATACCTTTTTCAAGCATAAGCACACAAAAAACTTTGTTTCAAAGGCAGTATGGGTAGTTGGTAGTAATTCTTCAACAATACGTAGAGGTGTCTTTTCCCAAAGAAAATGTTTGACGTATGGATTATTTTTACTTGCTAAAAATACTCTGCTATGCATCAAAAATGCTTAAAAGCTAGAAGGCAATAAAGTTTCCTATTGAAATAAGTAAATTACTCAACTTTCATTTCAAAGCTAATACTGTTCACACTTGAAAACACATTTTTGTTTGCAGTGAAGTATTTTTAGATTATTTTTTATACCATTTGTGCCATCTCACATATAAGAAATGCTCCAATTGTGGCTTCTTCGTGGTTATCTTGGATTTCAATGTTGATAATATGTACTGGACTGTTGTCCACAGGTGATCTATTTGATAATTCTGAAACAAGAGAATCACAAATACAGATACTATTAACCATATGAAAAAATCTACAGTGGACTTTTGTTTTGCAATACATATGACAAGACCTTGTATAAATGGGATTTGTTTTATTACTCCTGCTTTCATTTTTGTTAAAATTACACTGCTGACTAGAGAATGCTCACTATACTCTAAACATGCTATTCATTATGAGAAAGCACAACACATCCAGTCCAGAAGTTAAGCAAACACTACCTTAAAATGTCTAAGAACTCTTGACACTGAGCACTTCTCACAACAAACATCTTCTCTTAATGAAAACCACATGTGATTGTGCGTAGATTTCTAAAGCTTCTTAAAATGTTTTGTTTTTAAACAAAGTTCAATAACATACCATAATTGCGAAAAAAACTACATAAAAACTGAATAATTTCTATTATCAAATTGATTAATTCAGCTAATTTACCATAAACCTCTATGTTGAATTATTTATTGAAACCCTTAAAAATTTTTACAACTCTCCTTCGAATGTATTATAAAAAAAAAGGAGTAGACAGATTAAATACATATTGAATTCTGGGAAAATTATTGAAATTATCCATAAATTTAATTCTGGTTTATAGGTCATAATGGCCAGAGATTCTTGTTCGTCAGATAATAACTCCAACATTTGCTCCCTTCCCTCTCGTATACTGGTTCAAAACTATGGACAGCCGACACATATCTTAGCCCTTGTGAAGCCTTACAGAAATATCCAAATCAACCACCCAACAGTGAATATTCTATAATAGGACCTGTTACAGAATTTACTGAATTACTTACCTTCAACTACTTGGTCATAAACTCTTTCTTCAGCTGTAAATATAACATCAAACTTTTCCTGGCAAGACTGAAATCTCTCTGGATGGGACTTGATTCTTCGGTTCCTATCTAGCATGTGAAGAATTCCATTCTGAGTGTATCTTAAAAAATGTGAAAGAAAAGCAAACTACAAAAAAAAGATTATGACATTAACTGTTGATCTCAAACTATTTGCCCTCAATTAAGTAAATGCAACAATAAAATCTGATGTTACAAATTGATATTTAGCTGCAATTATAAGAACCAGATAGTTCACAGAAAAAGGGAAAATCCAAGAGTTTAATTTTCTTGTAAAATTAACAGCCATGTGGTAGCACAACATACACACCAAGTATGATTATGGATGCAATGATCTTAACAGTTCAGATGATACCAGTTGTAAATTACTGCAGGGGAATAAAAGCTTTGGCACTGCAGTGCCTTGCAATATATATAGAGAAAGATAGATTTACCAATTATGAATGGCTATAAAGTACATATTCCTGCATCATTTATGTTCATTTTTGAATACAATTAAGGACAGTTTGGATCTCAAGATAACTACCTACAGCTAAGCTTCAGAAATCCTGTAATTTAAAACACTGAATCATTCCGCCTTTTTTTTTCCAGACATTTTCTGTTTGTCTATTACTACATCTTTAAGGCATGGAGTGTTTAGTCTTTTAGAATAATAGCAGAGTTTGTACTCAAAGTTTCATCACTAAGAATTAAAACAACTTACTCTCATCCAAGAAAACAAACATTTTCAGGGATCGAAATATTACATTCCCAAGAAATTTAACTTTGCTTGAGGAATTTCATCTTTTTAATTGGCTTTCCCGATTGGGAATGCATGGTCAATCCGTATTCCTTCAGTTACGACTAATGGAAGTGAACATATTACATGGATTAAATATAAAAAAAAACAATTCGTGAGGAAATGTAACTTTACATGAAAGAATGTAATCTTCTTGATAGCTTTCCATTGAGTGAATGTAATTTTATTTCATTATTTCTATCCCTGTTTTTGATTATTCAAATACTCTATTATATCAGTATTGGTCAATAACTAAGTGTCATAAGCAGATGTATACACCTTGAAAAAATTTAGAAATTATTATCACTCATAACATCAAGACAAATTGCATAAATCTGCTTTTACACGAATTAAAACAAGGTATTCTAGTAATAGAACTTTGACTTGTTTCTGCCTGTTTCTAGAGTTGGGACATTACTATCGAAGTCAAAATGATTCTATTCTACTTCCATAGCATCATCTTTTCTGTCATAATGTAGATTTGGTATATAAACATCATTAGGATGTATTTCATGATGCAATTGAGAAAGCTGATATGGCTTTTTTCTCTCTCTCTCAACACCTCATGTACACATGTCACTATTCAAAAATGTTACATTTATGTACATCTACAAAATTTAGGAATACTGAAACTGAAAAAGCTAATTGTCAGATGTCCACAAATGGTGCTTCATAAAAAGGTAATCACACCAAAAAAATCTTATGACAAAAACAACAACAACATATAAGTAGAAACCATCTCAAATCATAGGTTATTTAGAAATAAGCATCTCATATTATAGGAGGTTTTACAGGAATAAACAGCACAGGAAACAGAAGAAAATTTGAAGGCTTGCACAAACTCTTGTTTAATGATTTTTTATGTTTATATTATGAACTGCAGAAAGTGAGTTCAGGATAATACTGTACAAATGATGGCTGAAATAGACTGGCCAAAAGCTTCATAAAAAAACTATTACTGAAGATAAAAAAATGTTTGCTATTTACCAACCCTTCACGAAAAGACTCAATGAGCATTGTATGGAAAACATTGTAATTGACCTGAATAATGTAAATAAGTGGTAAGTAGAAAGACTACCAGAGTATAAATAAATAAGGTACCAATGCCAGACATGGTTTTTCCCAAGATTTTAAAGGTCAGTGATCAAATATGCATGCCTCTCTTTCATTTTTGGTAAGTCAAGAGACAGATACCTAAGGATTGGATAGTTGCTAATGTTACTCTTGTTTTAAAGGTGGTGATAAGAGTTGCTTTGGAAATGATGGGCCAGTCAGTCTTAATCTGTGGTGGGAAAATTATAGATAGCTTGATAAAAATAACTTTACAAAATCATTTACTGAAATATTATATAAAAGAAAGCCAACATGGATTCAAAGGGAAATCCTGCCTTTCTAATTTGTTGATTATTTCAGAGAACATTACTTGTTATCCAGATAATAGAAATGATATGGACTTGGTATACTTAGATTTTCAAAAAGCTTTTGGTAAGGTGTCACAAAAACTAGCTAAGAATATCATATCAGTAAGAGTTGGGGAAAGAACACCTAATTGGGTGGATGGATGGGAAAAATCAAAAGGTTATTATAAATGGAATCCAGTCAAACTGGACTCTTGTTATTAGTGCAATGCCTCAGGGGACATTTATTTTTCTTATTTGCATTAATGATATTGATAGAGGAATAATCAGTAAATTTAATGACATTAAACTTGTGAGTATTTACTAAGGATATTGAGTTATTATGAAATCTTACAGAATGGCTTAGATCAATTGGTCAGTTGGCCAAATAATTTTCAAATGACCTACAAGTATAGTAAGTGCAAACCAATGCATTTGGATTATCATAATTTGGATCACATCTAATATAGATGAAAACCCACTCAATAATGTGACTGTAGAAAAGGACATTGGAATTATGATAGATAAGTCAAACCATCAGAACATTATTCTCTTAACAGTAGTTAAATTAACAGAGTTTTAGGTTACATTTATAAAAATCATTACAAGCCAAAAGATGAAATTATCTCCTTATACAAAAAACAAACAAACTTATTTCTCTTGATAAAAGTAGGGTAAGAGGTGATCTTATCAAAGTTTACAAGATTATTAGGAGGATTAATAGAATAAATTATTTTGTGTTCTGTTCTTAAGAGAACAGGATGAAGTGACACAAATTTAAGATTTTTGAAGGGACAGGCTATGCTCCAATTAAGATAGTTTTATGTTTTTAACCATGTGATTGACTTATGAAACAAACTGCCATCTGCAACAGTAGAGACCAGCATTCAATCACTAGTTTAAGAGAAGCAATTTTAGGAAAAGTATTGAATAGGCTTAAATTTTTATTTTACTACTTTTTTATGCATGAATGGAAAAAAATAAAGAGGTACACAACCTGATCAATTTGTTTATAGGCAGATACTTTAAGTCTATTAAAATTAAAAAAATAAGCTATTTAAGTAAAGTTCAAGAAACTTTCCTTAACACACTGAAGAAACTGAATTTAGGATTTCTACTAACTGGGAAATTGCTAGTGTGACTAACACTATTATTAAAACAAAAAACGGTATTGAAGAAAATCCAAACAAGTATAAGTTTATTATTACCTTGACTTCTCTTGTTAGTAAGGTGTTGGAGTCAACTGTCAGAAATAAATTTGAAAAATTGGATTTAATAAACAGTATTGAGCTTTATTTCAACAAATATATGTTCCTGCTTTGGCACTGAAGATTTTCTTGAAGGAGAATTCTGTTTTATTTTTCTTCTTCCAAACTACATAATGAAACCCCTGTTTCTATACCCAAAAATAGGCCCGGCATGGCCAGGTGGTTAGGGAGCTCGACTCGCACTCTGCTGGTTCGAATCCCCGTCACACCAAACATGCTCGCCCTTTCAGCCGTGGTGGGGGGTTATAATGTGACGGTCAATCCCACTATTCGTTGGTAAAAGCCCAAGAGTTGGCGGTGGGTGGTGATCTGCCTTCCCTCTAGTCTTACACTGCTAAATTAGGGACAGCTAGCACAGATAGCCCTCGTGTAGCTTTGCGCAAAATTCAAAAACAAAAACAAACTATACCCAACAATATTCATCCAATCTTCTTTTAGCCCTATGTGTTTGGATGGGGATCAAATGTGCATGTCATGACCTATTACACAGCACCATTCAACATGGTGTTATGTATTTGATGTCAGAACTATAAATTATTCATTTAACTCTACACTGAAGATTTAGCAACAGTTTGGGTTACAGGAGAGTAAATACCAGCTTCATTATAGTGGGATACCAAAAGAAACACAAAACTGTAGAGCGTAGATATACATTTTGGAGGTTATAGAGGTTATGCAAGTGTAATACACAAACTGTACAAGGGTAAAAGTATTGTTATTCTTCACAAGAACATCACCTTACACTATGATTTGTCAGAGTCAGACTGACATCAATTCACAGACAAATCTTGAGTGCAAGTATTTTTGTAATACATCTGATACATTGTGTGTACCACATTTTGTACAGATACATGTAGTAAATTTAGAATTGTAGTTCAACATTCTTTCTCCACAGTCGGGCTGATCTTATGAACTGAACCCATACACATTTGGTTAAGCTCCTTCAATGCTGTAGTTTCTACCACATCTGAAGGCAAAATATTCCATAGGACAACTACTTCATCAGAAAGTTAATAATGTGAAACTAATTGTGCTTGAGTTTTCCATATCTTAAAATTACATCCTCTAGTCATGTCATCTGAACGTTTTTTTTTTACAACATCTGGATTATGAATTCTAAACTCCTAAAAATCTTAAAAACCTCAATCATATTACTCACAAGCTTTTCACTTCTTCAGTTAAGAGACACCAAGTGATTTCAATCTATACCTATACGATAACCACTCCAAAAATGGAATCATCTAGATTAGTTCTCTTCCAAACCCTCTCCACTTCAACATCCTTTCTTAAATAAGATGTCCAAAAGTGAACACAATATTACAAGTTAGGTCTAATCAGAACCTTACATAGCAAATTGATGACTTTTCACCTGTACTAAACATTTCTTCCTATACAAATTAAAATCTTATACTCGTTCTTAGGCAGAATATTTTTTCTTCTTTAGGATCAACAGATTTTGAAATAATTTACATGACAAGATTGTATGTATTAATAATTTGGTAATTTTTTTTGTTATTAGCACTCCTTTTGCTTAAACAACTTTAATTCTCAAAACAGCTTACTCCATATCTGAAAAAAAAAGTTCCTTTTTTTCTTTGTCTCACATCATGCATGCCACACTGACAGAATCTTTTAAAGGCAGTTAGTGTAAGATTTCAGTGTAACCAGTAAATTATAAGAGCTGGATGTTGCTTCAGTGCAAAATTCCACCCCACACAATATAAGTGAGGGCATAAATGGGCAATCTTAATGGAGTATAAAACGTTTAATTTATGACATAATGCAGCCTAAGAATACAGTTTCAAATAAAAATTGTTGTATTTACAGTCAAAGGATACAGGCTCTTATCTTTGGACAACAAGTCTTGATACATCTGTTCATACGAAACAGTGAAATCGTAAATGTTGGGTTTGTCTGGAGATGGCCCTGGCAGCTTCACTTGGTTTCCAGAGCCAAATGATCGAACTCTAAAACCTTTTTTACTAAAGATGAAAAATATCTTATAAAGACAAACATAAAACAGATCATGCTTTATTAACACTTTTATACATATTCCATTGAAATGTACTAAATCACAAATAATAGAAATAAAATTTAAAGGAAGTGAAAAGGAATTCATGGTGACAAAACTATGGATTACTAAAAAAAAATCAAATTTATTACATTTGACTGTACTCTGAAGTGTCAGTTCATTCAAAGATACATCTACAAACTTATTTCACTGTGATTTCTCTTTGTTAAGTTTAAATGACAAATGTCTTTACACTGAATAGTGGTAATGTATTATACAAATCACATCAGGAATCCATAGATTATCTTATGGTAACAAAATAAGAAATGTTTCATTATGATAAGAACATCAATATTTTTGCTCTCATATCATGCATGTACACTAATGGACTCTTACAGTTATACAGGCAATTAATGAAAGGCTTCAGTGTAACTAGTAAATTAAGGCAGTACGATGCTGTTTCAATGCAAAAATCATATCATATATCAATTACAAGCTAGATATCATGAGTTATCTAAGTCCTTGAAGATGCCCAAAATAAACATGGAATTGGAAGACACAATTGTAACTCACCTCAAAAAAGCATGAGCTTCCATACTTCTGTTTTGATTACTCGAGCACACAACGGCAACTTTAAGATCATTAGTCATTTTTTTATTATTTTTACATCCACATACACCAAGACTGTTTGGATGATGATATCCCTGATGTACAGAAGCTGTATATTATTTTATAGTTAAAATGTTCTGACTTTATAAGTATAAGCTTTTTCCTTACATTTGTCTGGAGTGTACACCATACATAAAACTAGTGCAAGAGCACTATACTACCTTCATATGTTAACAGTTTTATTTTCTTTAAAGTTCACCGGGTTGCAGAAACTTGTTGCAGTTGCCACGTTGCAAATTTAATCATATTATTTTATTTAATGTAAACGATATATCCACTTATGATACTGATAGTGACAAGTACACCGTACACTGGTAGTGGTACAGTCAAGTATACAGATTTGCATTTTTTACTTTTACTGTTTTTATACACAACTTTTAATGTTTAAATACCTACTTCATATTTGAAAAAGAAGCATAAAAATGATAATAAATGACTTGCAAAGTTTACAATGTTTTAAATATGTTATTCCAAGCTCAACTATTTGAGTAAGCCAATTGGAAACATACACGGTATGATTCTAACTCTATATTTGTTAAGCCTAACGCAGAGTTACGTGTCTACAACAGTAATCACACTTTGTTCAACCAGTAGTTGTCTAACACAAATGAATAATCAGCTTGTTATATAAATATTATTTATACCAGAAATTAGAAACAATATATTTAATTACTATCTTATAACCAAATTATTTCACTATCTGAGATAGGTTTAACAAATTGAGATCCCACGTTTTCTTCTCGCCTAACTACAGTTAAAAAACAAAGAGATTTTAAACAGTTTTCGTTTGTTTGAAATTCCGCGCAAGGCTACGTGAGAGCTATCTGCGCTATCAGATAATTTAGCAGTGATAGACTAGAGGAAAGGTAGCTAGTCAACATCACCCACCGCCAACTTTTAGACTACTATTTTACCAACGAATAGTGGGATTGAATGTCACATAATAACGCCTCCACGGCTGAAAGGGCCAACATGTTCGGTGTGACGGGCATTCGAACCCGCGACCTGCAGATTGCGAGTCGAGGCCCTAACCACCAGGCCATATAATAGTTAATGAACAAAATAAATATACAAACGCAAAACCAAATCTAGATAAAGTAACTAAAAAAATAGAAATAACATTAAAAAATCAACGTGGTGAATCACCTTACTACAAAATAATAATAATTTAAAATTACAACACCTTTATGCAGTTCTTCGTAGCTGGAAAAAACAACTTTAATTTATTTTAAGAGAATTGGTACTGTTACGTCTTCGTTCGTTAGTTAATTTTCCGTAAATTCGTTCCGACAAAACTTTAGCGACACAA